CACTCACCAGTTGTTGAAAGCCACGCTTGGACAATCTGGCCTTAGGTCTTACAGCTAGTGACAGTAATGGGGGGCAAACAGCCATGACCCAGTCTCTGTTGCCACACAAACTCTTAGCCAGCACAAGTCTGGGTCTATGGTCTCCAAACCCAACTTGAGAGTATACCCCCACCTGGATCTGAAGCAGTGCTGTGGGTGGGGGGCCTTTTCTGTCTCACGTCTCACTTCACCTCCACTCCTTTCCCAGGAAAGCCCTTCTCACTCCCCAAGATGACCCAAGGCCCTTTCCAATATGGGACCTGTGCTCCCGGGACCTCCCAATACAGACCTGTGCTCCCGGGACCCCCCAATACAGACCTGTGCTCCCGGACCCCCAGTACAGACCTTTGCTCCCAGGGTCCCCAATACAGACCTGTGTTCCCATGGACCCCAATAAAGACTTGTGCTTCTGGGGGCCCCCAACACAGACCTGTGCTCCTGGGGGCCCCAATACAGACCTGTGCTCCCAGGGACCCCAATACAGACCTGTGCTCCTGGGACCCCAAGAGGAATGGGCATATGACGATTTCCTCTCTCATCACAACCCCACACAGCTTATTTGGGTAGATTCTCCCTCAGCCTTGGCATAGTCTGTCTTCTTACCTGGCCTCCAATAGAACACACACTGTCTTCAGGCATCTCTGTCCAGGCCAGCTCAGCATGTCCTACCTTACTTACCTTACTGAGCTGATATCCACCTGGCTGGCCCAGACTCCTGGAGTGACAAGTCATGACTGTCAGGACCCATGAAAACAAAGGGTTGACAAAGACGGTGAGGGCACAGTGGCCCTGGGCCCTTCTTCTTAGGAATGAGACCATCATCCTATGCCAGGTAGGCAGGTCACAGGACTGGGAGTCAGCAGAAGGCAGAAAGGTGACACTCAAGTCTCTTCTGAGTCCTGTTTAGTGACAACAGCCTGAGGTTTGCTCTTCCCACCAGAAGTTATCACTGCCTGAGTACAGGCTGTTTGCAGTTCCCAGCCCAGAGCAATCCCGGAGCCACATACTGTCATTCAGTGGGAGGACCTCAGGAGCCTCACAGGTAGGAGCCAAGCCAGAGGCTTCCTGAGGTGAGGGAGAAGCCAAGGGCCAGCTCAAGGAGGAGCAGAAAGCAAGGGCCACAGGAAAATGAGTCCCCACACCTTACTGACTAGCCTTCACTATGCCAGCCAGGAAGATACCCTACCGCTTGCCTCAAAGACCTAGTGAATGAAGAAACCAAGGGAAAAGGCAGAAGGATGTTCAGACATGAAAAGACTTGGTGTAGAACATGTGGGCACCAAGACCACACTACATGGTCCCTACTCATCCTCAGGGCTCAGACCAGTGGCCTGACTTAGTAAAGACCCTGTGGGCACATCCATCCCATACATGGCATGACAGAGCCTCCTTCCTGGACAGATCACAGTCCACCAGCCGCCTCTACATACAAGGAGCAGCCGTGGTGCCATTGTAACACCCTGCAGAACTAGACGACAGAAACCTTCACAGTGTAAACTGCTTTCTGGCCCGAAGGATACCACCAAAGTAGCCCTGGCAGGGCCTGGGCACTAGGCTGGCCTGGTGGTAGGCAGTGGGCTCTCCAGACCTGCTGTCAGTGTTTAAAGTCAATCCCATGTGAATTGCCAAGGGGCAGAAGTTGCAAGGGTGGGACATGGGTGTCACTCAGGGATTCAAGGAGCTCCCTGATATAGGCAGTCAATGGAGGCAGCAGGACAAGGTGTCTAAACGTTTCTCTCCAGGAAAGAAAATTTCTTGGTAGAGCCTCTAACTATATACAGTGGTAACAGCCCAAGAAGTCAAACTGGGGAGTCAGAGCTTGAGGAAAGGTTTATTCTGTCACTTGTGTGGCCTATCTCCAGGGCAACTGCTTCCCCCTATGAAGAAGCTAATCCCCAACTCCATACCCTGAAGTTCTATTCTTAAGCATGGTCTCTACACATGGAGCTCTTTGATATCAGCATGTGCTAACCACACAGCATCTGGGTCTAGACCAGCTCATTTTAACAGCACAGGGATAGCTGGGCACCAGGGATTTAGGGCAAGGCAAAGACATGGTTGTTAACATAGCCTAGAGATTTCACACCTACAGGACCAGATGAGGCCGGGGCAAGCTCTGGGAACCAGAAGATTCCACATAATCAGGATTAGGTGTTAAGTTGTCCTGGTCCCACTGGGCAAGCATAGCTCATTGAGGGGGGTGAGATGTCAGGGCCAGGCCCTCCACCACATTAGAAGCAGAAGTTGAGCCAAGGCAAGATACCTGGGTGGTACTCTGGGTTTTAAGCACAGGGAAGGAGGGAGAGGGAGGGAGGAATCACTTGTATGCAGCAGGTGAGCATCCATGCAGCCTCATTTCTCAACAGAGCTCAGAAGCAGGTGTGTACAAAGGCAAGAAGACGACATCCTTAAGGGGCAGCTGTCCCTTGGAAAGTGTGCTCCCTTTGGAAGACCTTTAGACACCTACACCAAAACCCTCCACCTGCTGGGCACACCAAGGCACACTCCCGAGCTGACCAGGGCTTCAGAGACTGAGGCAGGAGGGAACAGCAGTGTTTTCTCTAAGCATGGGGTATCACTCGTGGTACAGTACCATCTCCATGTCAGGGGCATCTGGAGCCAGGGAGCCAGATTCTCAGAAAGGAGAGCCATGCTCTGCCCTTCTAGAGGGAACCCTTGCTCTCACCAGAGAAACAGGGCCTCATCTCTGGATCCCTAGGCGGGAAGATCATGGGTCCTATATTCAGCAGCTTAACATAGATGGGTCAATCCTCCCCTAACCATTGACTTCACCACACCTCCATTCCAGCCAGAAATGAGACTAGAATGGCCTCAGACCTGGAGGATGCCTCCCAGTGGCCCTTTCTGGAATTTCCTATCAGACAAGAAGCATAAGGCAGAACCTTCATGGGGAGTGTCCATGGAGCAATCCCAACCCTCTTCCTCTAGGACAGAAGTTTTCAACCTGGGGTGGGGGTCACAACACCTTTGGCAACTCTGTCTCCAAAATATTTACATTGTGATTCACAACAGTAAGAAAATTACAGTTATGAAGTAGCAACAAAAATAATGTTATGATTGGGGATCACCACAACATGAGGAACTGCATGAAAGGCTTGCAGCATTAGGAAGACAGAGCTATCTGAACGATCTCAGCTCTGCTATCCTGCCACATGGAAGACATGTAGAAGACTGGACGGAAGGATGGGGCTTCCACAGCCCTGTGTGTATGTTCCCGCTAGGACTGCCCTGTTAGTATGGGCCACAGACCCACAGCAGTGGCTGCACCTGCAGCTGTCCTGGAGAAAGGTGAATATTTGAGGCTAAGCAGGTGTGAGTGCTACATTGTACATAGGAAGGCCACAGCAGCCTGACGACACCAGGGGAACCATATCTCTAACTAGGTCCTTTCTCTATTTCAGACCACAGAAGACCCCTGAGACTGTCACCTGGACCTTACATTTGAATTTGGACTCTTGTCCTCTCTGGGCAGATTCTAGGGACACTTGGCGCCAACTCTGTTGCCCATTTCCTGGAGACAGCCCCACTCAGAACAGACAGAAGGTGGTGCTGCAAAGGCCCTGCACACAGGCTGCCCAGGTCACAGGCAGATGGGTAAGTTCAGCTGTCTATGGCATACCCTACATTCAAGCTAAGTGCTTCTCTGCAGATATGAGACAGCTAGAGACCCAGTTCTCAGCCAGCAGCCTCCCACGTAGCCGTGGAGTACACTAGTGGACACACACTGCCCTGTCCCATGGCAACGTAGGATGTGCAAGAGTAATACATGTCCTGGATCTGTGTGGGGTTATGACTGTGTCACAGCTGATCGGCCAGGGCTTTGACTCATCCCCAGGCACAGGTAGCTTCAAAGGCCCCTGAGACACCCTGGCCCCAAAACTGCATTGTGGCTCTGAGAGACATATTTATCACTTGGGCCACATGTGCTCCTCTTCCCAGACACATGAACATAGCAGATGCTCTGCTTGGCCACCATAAGGAACAGGCCTTCCAGAGAACCCAGGCAGTTTGCCAGCTCACAACCTTGATCTTCAGTCTGTAAAGCCTGGTCCTACCCTATATTCAGGCTCACGCTAATCTTGAGGGGTATGGTTGGCACAGGGTTCTGGACTTCCAATGTGATGTCCCCATCCTGTCACAGGGCTCTGGAACCACTTCCTTGTTTCTTGCCTCCAACTCTCATTCAGGAAGTCAACTAATGCAGGAAGCCATCCACAATAAATAGAGTATTCTCATGAGGAGCTCAGGGCACCAGGGACCACCAGCCAGTTACATTCTCTGAGAGGTTAGCCCAGGGCACCAGGGACCACCAGCCAGTTACATTCCCTGAGAGAGGTTAGCCCAGGGCACCAGGGACCACCAGCCAGTTACATTCTCTGAGAGGTTAGCCCAGGGCACCAGGGACCACCAGCCAGTTACATTCCCTGAGAGAAGTTAGCCCAGGGCACCAGGGACCACCAGCCAGTTACAATCCCTGAGAGAGACTATCCCAGGGCACCAGGGACCACCAGCCAGTTACATTCTCTGAGAGAGGTTAGCCCAGGACACCAGGGACCACTAGCATCAATTTTGTTGAGGGGAGTTTAGGGTTGTTAGATCTTGAGAGTGGGCTAATCTACCAGGGCTCAGGGAAGCCTAGGCTAGGCCTCACCCCAACAGATGAACTAGGGGGTGAACTCCAGCGGGAACTCCTAAGTTCTTGCTGAGGGAAGATTTGTGAGCACTGAGGGCCTGCCTGCAAGTGAATTCATGAGAGGCCTCTGGGGACTTGAAGGCTCCTGGCTATACTGTCAAGACTAGAGTAGGCTCTACGTTTAAGGCCAAGAAGTGGCTCCTGAGCTTCCCATCTCAGAGAAGTGTCTCCCACTCCCTCACAGAATCTAACTTGGGGTCCAACAGGAGGCTCTCAGTTGGCAGGATGGGCAGAAGGGCCTACTTACCTGGCTGGGGCTCCCCTGCTTGGCCTTTGTGTTGAAGAATAGAAAAACCGAGACGTTCTCAGCTACCATGGTCCAATGGGAGTGAGGACAAGACCAGGGACAGAACTCTTCATAGGTTTAGTGTGCACAGCACCACAAAGGTCTCTTCACTTGCGGTCACTCAGGTCATGTGCAGCAGTAGCACAGAGTTCACAGCCTGAAGGATCCTCTTCCACACCCGAAGCTTCCATGATGGTGTGCCCCACAGAGCTCCAATAGCAGCGGATGGCGGCGTACCACCCTCTGCATCAGCATCTCTATCTCCTGGGGGCTGAAGTGGGGCTCGTGCGTCTGGGTGTGGAAGTGAGTGCTTGGCAGCAGGACTTGGCAGCAGGACTGCTTCTGAAGTCTGGGGGCATGTGGGCTTCTTGTTGCTGAACTCTGGAATGGCACGAGAAGCTAAATGAGGTATGGGGTCCTCTAGTGCACAGGGGAGCCATACCCACCATGCTGGGGCATGGGCCAGCTGCTCTTTCTCCACCTGCCTGGGCTGCCTAACCCTGCAAACGGTCAGCCCTGCCTAACTCTCTCCCCAGAACAGTTTCCTGCCCTCAACTGCTGGTATGGATATCCTCACCACTGTTAGGTGGCTCCTTCCACTACAGGGACTGGGAGGCCTCTGGGGCAGACAAGCCATTTGGTACCATGCATCTCCCAGCCCTGATGGCGAGCTCAAAGGAGCAATGTCTGGAGCTAAGACTTTGGAAATCTGCGGGGAACACAGGGAAGAGGCCTTGCCCAGGATCTTCCTCGACAGCCAGGAGAAAGGGGGCACTGAGGACTGGCAAGCAGCTCTCTGGCTGGCAGGTGGCTCAAGTGAAATGAGTAGCCACCAATGACATCTTGTCCTGGTGTCACTGGGGCCAAATCCTTGATGATCTGCTTCAAATCCAGCATGACACTCTGTAGAAATAGGAAGGAACCCTGTTAGGAGCAGGGAGGCTACAGGAACTGGGGTTGGTAGTATAAACAAGCCCAGAGCTATCTAGCTGCTAGAGTTCAGGAAAAGGTCCCTTTCCTGTTAGGAGTGCCCGAGAGCCAGAAGGGGTGGATAGGACAGGGTCCACTTGCTCAAACCCGGACCCATAGGTATTCACCCAGAACCACAAGCTCCCACTACGCATGCAGAGATCCCAGGACCTACACAGCCCAGCTGCAGTCTAGGACAAAAAGAGAGTGTACTTAGCACCTTGGTGGTGGCTTGTCAGGAAAGCCAGAGGCTCTCCATGGTACAGCATGTCCATGTGACCTATAGAGCCATCCCCCATAGCTAGAGGCTGCCTGACAGAAGGTTCTGCCTTCTCCCTGTGTATAAATATGGCCTGCACTGGTGCCACCAAGAAAATCCAAGAGGTGGGGAATGGGAAGGTGTGTGAGAGATGGAAGGGTGAGCAGCCATCAGGTAGGGGTGCACAGGTAGGCAGGGGTAGGAGCAGGTGTGGGGGAGTGAGGGCGTGAGTGGGTGGTGTGAGTGGGTGAGGAGTGGGTAGTGGGTGGGTGGGTTGAGGGTAGTAACCCTACTTCTACTCAGGCACAGAGTGGTTCTTTAAAGCTAGAGAACTGTGTGTGGAAGAGAAACCTGTGCCAGGAGGATTCTGGGCTCCTCATGCCAACTTGTCATCTGCTCTCTCCCATCCTCCACACTGCCAAACTTTATCTTAACTCTTCGTCCACTGAAGTAGCTGAAATATCCATGAGGGGTTCACTCACACTGCCAAGGACCACACCAGGGGCTGTGCTGATGGCCAGGCACACACTGCCACCTCCACTCCTTAAGGAGTAGGAGGGTTCCAGAGGTCCTGTGCCTCTCCAGCCTTTCAGGGAAGGGAAAAGTGGGGCTCACCCCTGTGTCCATTGCCTGTCTCCGCATTTCTCCTCGGTGCCACACTGGCCACTGTGAGACCTTAGACAAGGAAATGTGTCTGCTCCCTTATCTGGATCATGGCTAGGTTCAAGCCGAGGCAGGCAAGGAGGAGTGCAGGTGGCCCCTGCCCCAGCACACCCGTCCACTCATAGCTCATCATGGAGTGAGGATTGATTTCCACAAGGGTCATTTCACCCCACTGCAAATATTACAGGGAAATTCATTTTCTTTTTAAGAGTGTTCTGGGAAATGAAGCAATTAGCATGATCTTAAACCGGCATGTACTATCAATTGCAATTCAATTACTAGGCTTAAATATGGCACAGGGCGGGTGGCTGCTCTGGAGAAGCCAGCCATGGGCTGGAAGGTAGTGAGGAGCTTGTGGTGGGGTCTCAGCTCTGGCCAGCTCTAATTTGTCAATGGTAGCAGACAGGGGCAGCAGTAGATGGGACAAGTGGGGGCTGGCTGGAAGGCTTCCAGGCATGCTCGCCACAGCTGCATGTTCTTGTTGAGGTGTCTGTCTCTATAGCACCTGGATCCCACCAGTGACCCCCCCGCCCAGCACCACTTGGCATATGGGTTGGCTATAGGTGCTGGGACAACACAAGCCCTGGCCCACCCTGGCCCCAATCCCTATTTGTAGGATGGTCCCTCTGTAGGTCTCACTGACTAATAAGTGGCATCCCTTTTGGATAAACAGCTTAAACAAAAGCAACCCCTGACCTGATATTGGAGGAGGAGGTGGTTCACTGCAGGTAGCCATCCTCTCCATAGACCCTAAGCTCCGCACAAGTGTGGAGAGGGCAAATTCAAGCCCACCACAGACCAGGACCCCTTCCTCTCTTGTGATCAAAGGTCCTCCTGGTGCTGTTTCAGGGGAAAGGATTTGCTCCATATCAGCCAGTCGATGTCATAGCCCAAAGGCTGGGGACTGAGTAAGTACCCTTGCTCTGAAGACTGCCTTGGTGAGCATCAAAAGATGGGCCAGTCTGGCAGGCAGCCCCATACACTCTACCGGAGTCACTGTGGAAGGAGTGGTAACATCTGCATCTTTGTCCCCTTCTTTGACAACCATCATTGGGCGGAGGGATGCAGAGCAGGAAGTAGACCCATAGTGGCAGAACTGGGCAGGTACAGCAGGGCTGGGACCTTGTGCTGGGCCTATCAGTGGAAAGGTAAACCCTGACAGTGCTCAGGGGCAGGTAGCTGGCACAGACCAATGTCTCTCCTGTCACTGGGCACTGGGCACACCTCAGCTTCTGGTAGGATCCAGCTCCCAGGCACACTGGGATATGTGCCAGAGATCTAGACATCACTCTCCGCCCCTCTGCAGGAGCTGGGCAAGAAGCCAATTCCAGGCAGAAGTTGACCCACAGTCCTTTGGTGAAAGTAAAGGCCAGGCCTAGGGGGATGGGAGTCTACGAGCCCTGGAGTCCTCTATCCAGATCCCAGCTACCTAGGATAGAGCAGCCCTAGTAAGTGTGCTGAAGATACAGACAGCACAGCTGCCTGCCCCCACCATGAGCAACAGAGAACAGAAGCAAGGGACACTGGGAAACACCCAACTTAGTCAGTATTTAAGCTGTGCAATTACTGATTGCTTCTAAAGCTAGAACTCATTATAAGCGCACACACAACTTCTTCCTCTTCATTCTCTGACACCATGGAACCACTTCACATAAGACATAATAAAATCCCTTTATCAAGGTGTGTGTGTGTGTGTGTGTGTGTGTGTGTGTGCGTGCGTGTGTTTACTTTAAGAAAAAGAAGGGGAAAATCCTACTACACTTTTTTCTGTCAAGGAATTTCTCTTCTGATGAGGAGCCTGGCAACTGTCTACCTGCAAAGGCAACTGCTCCAGTTTATGGAATAGCCAACTTCTATTTAGTTATGTGGGTTTTTTTAAATCTGTTTGTTTGTAGCTAGCCCAAGCAGGATCAGCCTCATCCTGTGTAGGGCTGTCTGTGCCTGCCAAGTACAGGGAAAGGTGGTGGATGCTCTATCTGGGGCCTCCAGTCTTTCTCTTCTCATTCAGTCCTTAGCCCTCCCAGGCCTATCATGTAGCCATGGCAACAGAGCAGCTAGTATGCTCGGAGCCTGCACCCAGGTCAGGTGACAACTGTTGGGGACCTCCATGAGGTGAGAGCTTGGTGTGGGGAGCCTGGCGTACACACAGCAGCTGGCAGTAGACAGAGCAGGCCCCTACTCCAGCTGTCCACTGTGCTCTGCACAGCAGCACACTGGCAGCAGCTCAGGCGTATGCCCATATTATCTCTCACAAGATCAGGATGCACCATCCAAAGATGGGAGTGTATACTGCATCAAGACTCAGTGACTGGCTGCTGGGCGCTTGGCTTCGAGGAGAGCTATTAGCACTCTGGCTCTGGAGGGATCCTCCTCTGAGACAGGCTAACCAAGAAGCTCTGAGATCTCCACAGGTGGGACAGTTCTGTCCTAGAGTCGGGCAGCCTGGGCTGGGTCCACAGCCACATCACTCAAGAGTTGTGTGACCTGGATCAGGCAACAGAGCATTTCCCTTTCATCGTGATAATTTTAACACCCTGAGTGCTTACTCTCGGGGTCCTGGTGTGGGCTGAAGTGCATAGAAACACTGGCTGCAAGGTCCTCTGCTACAGCAGCTCTTCTAAGAGTTCCACCAAATAAAGCCACCTTCCCGCCACCACTCAAGGTCACTAGATAACCACAGGGCCACAATGGCTAGGACAGACCACACACCACCGCCTACATCTGGATGCTTAACACATTCTAGTGGAGGGAGATGAATAGCAAGGACGTATTAAAGTGGGTGCCAGAGAAGGCAGAGGAGGGGCTGTCTGGAGTGAGAGTCTTCAGACATGCTGCTCCAAGATAGGGTAGCAAGGCTGCAGGCTGAGGGTCAGGTGGCTAGGCAGGTACACAGGCTGTAAGGCAGGTAGGTACTCAGGCTTGGAGAGAGGGAGAGAGGAAGAGAGGGACGGCAGGAAGGAGGGAGGGAGTCAGCATCTCCCAGAGACCAGGCCAGTCCACAGGACACTCTTCCTACATAGGAACATGGATGGCCTCCTGACAAGAACAACACAGCCCCTCTCTTGGGCCTGCACTGAGATGATCTGGAAGCAATGCACACAGTGGCCTGCAATGTTGGAGCACAGTCTTACCTAGCTCCCTAGTTAAGACCCATCCTTGGGATAAACCAGCAATGAAGAAGTCAAGTCACAGCATACCTATGGAGTTCAGGACAAAAGCCCCCAGTTCTGCACAGCCAATAGCCAGCAGAAGCCCAAGAGGCCAACAGAAGAGGTCAGGGTTCCATGGCACAGGAGGCCACCTCAGATTGGTCCTGCTATATTTTTAACCAACTCAGTAGGCAGACGGAGAGAGGGCGGATGGCCAGGTGATAAAGGTGGAAAACTTCCAAGATAGCTGGCTTCTTGCTCACCCTCCTGACCTAAGGACAACAGCCTGATAGCTGAAAACAGAGACCTGAAGGGCTTTTTTCCTTCC